TCTTCTGGTCTTCGGTCTTTAGTGTTTAATTCATCAAATCTGTTCTTCAGATGATCTCTAAATTCAGGAGGGATAAATTCAAGATCATATTTGGGCTCTCGTAGATTTGTTTTCATTTTCTTCAGCTTTAATTTGAATTTGCATATCAGTAATTGATGGTCTGTTCCACAGTCTTCAGAATATATAGATACTAACAAATTAATCAGTTTATATCTTTGCACATTACCCATTGTGAAAATACCCAAAATACTTTATTTATGGTCTATCATGTATGACTATGTGGGTTTTGTGCCCTGCATCAAAGCACATATTGTTTTTATTGTTGTTAAGAGCCTTTGAGTCAGTTCCAACTCACAGTAACCCTGTATAGGGTTTCAAAGGAGTGACTGATGCATTTGGGCCACCAACCTTGTGACTCAAACCAACCTTGTAGCCCAGTGCTTTATCCTATAGTATCATACTAGCACGCCAAAGCACATATTTCTTATGAAAAATTTCCCCAGGTGAGTCTTCCAATTTACAATTGATTATGATCTCAAGACCAAAGGGATCATGAAAAGTATCCTTGTTAATAACCTGTTTTTCAATCTTGTGTAGAGTTGGGGGGTCCACTTTCCATTCCAGATCCTTCGATAGTTGAAAAATCTGTGTCCATAATCGGCTTCAGAAATTTCTCAACCTTTGTTAGTCTCTGCTTCAATTTTTGTTGCACTGATTCATACTCAGCCAGGATTCGAGCAAACCTTGTTTGCAGAAGGTTTACTGACTCCTCTATTCTAATGACCTTCTCTTCAAGATCTTTAGGATCACCCCCAGCATTTGCAATACTTAGATCCAGCAGACCATCTTTAATTAAGATTTGCTTCCCTTTCTCTTCCAGTATAGTTTTGGCATCTGGGTATTCAGTTAGAGCTTCCATGAGGTCATCTTTTGAGAGACAAAACAGATCTGAATAGCCAATACTTTTAATATTGGCTGTTCTTCGATTTCCAGCTTTGCTTCCTTTAATGTTAAGAATGCTGATTTCACCAAAGTAACTGCCATCACTCAGAACTACAAACTGAGTGATTCCATCATCTGCCACTACAGCAAGTTTACCTTCCTTGATGATGTACATTTCACGCCCAATATCTCCTTTCTTGCAAATATAATCTCCAGGACTATAAACTTGGGGTTGTAATTTCAAGACCAACTCCACCAACAGACCAGCTTCACAGTCAGCAAAAATGCGCACTTTTTTCAGTGTGTCTAAGTGAACATTGATGGCAATCTCTGCTCTTAGTTTATCAGGTAGATATCTCAAGACATCCTTTTCATCCACTGTTTTTTTGTTGGTCCACAAGTAGTCAAACCATTTGATAACTTTCTTTTCCAAATCTTTGCTTACATTTCGAAAATGCATATATTGCTTTATAGCATCAATTCTTGCTTGAAATTCTGCTCTAGCTGCATTCATGTTGGAAATCATAGAACCTATGTTACCAACAATGGTAGCAAAAATTAACACTCCAATTAGGAAATCCATCACCACAAAGACATACTCAGAATCTCTCACAGGAGGCGGTGTTTCACCAATGGTGGTCAAAGTCAGGGTAGACCAGTAAAGGCTATATACATATTTTCTTGCCAAACGACCAAATTCAGGATCATTAATGTTAGGATAGACCCATGTGTCACTTCCAAATCCAATAGCTTTGGAAATAGCGTAATACACACAGGCATTCCAGTGGATGATGATGACAATATACATAACAAGGTTAGAAATTCTAAAGATGTTTGGGTAGTTTGTCCTCGTTTCTGTTCTCTGGAAAAATTCAAACATACGAGAGATCCTTAACAGTCTGTTTAATCTAATTTCTGGATAGCTCCACCCCAATTTTAAAAACAGCAGATCAGTTGGTACCATAGATAAAACATCAAGCTTAAATTGCAAATTGGATTTATATTTCTGTATGATTTTAAGCTCTTCCTTCACCAGCAGTCCTTGGTCCAGATAACCTAAAGTAGAAAAAAGAAAATCAATTTAATGCTTCTCCTTTTTATGTCTTAATTTTCCTTAATTAACTCTTAATGAAGTTTATTGAGTTCCACATAAGTACTCATTTTCAACATACTGGCCTTTAATAATGTAATTTAAGCTATGAGCTCCAATCAACATACCACTGTGGGTGATATTCTAGTGCAGAAAAATAAAGTATAACTGTTGAAACACAAAAATGTGAGAGATTATATAAAATATAATTTGATTCCTGAAGCTCTCTTAGATACAATATCTACAATCCAGGTAAAGCCATTCCTTTCATGATGGTGTACTTGAAATGTTTAATAAGCACTAGTTTTGTACCTTAAGACCTCAAGTCACTCTCGTAATACAACCCCAGGCCCATTTTCAAAGTTTAGCTATTATGCATATTCTTGCTTCGCACCTTCAATACAAAATGTAAGTGTCTTTCTAGCTGCATTTGCATCTTTTGCTTTTACTCCACCCTCGTGGATATCTGGGATATGCTGCCACCATGGACCTTGCGTGGTATACCTAGAATTTCAATATTCTTATGTGTTAGAGTAGAGTCCTTGGGTGGTGCGAACATTTAGTGTTCTTGGATGATAACTAAATTGTTGGAGGTCAGAATCCACCCAGAGGCACTTGGAAGAAAGTCCCTTCTGAAAAAATCAGCCACTGAAAACACTATGGAGCACAGTTCTACTCTGACACACATGGGGTCACCATGAGTCAGAGTCACCTCTATGGTAACACTAGGGAAATAATAGATTCCTCTTCCAATGCTGGCTACCACAGCTGCAGATGTTGTTATATGCTGTTGTTGTTGTTATTGCTATTAAGTGCCATTGAGTTGGTTCCGACCCATAGCAACCCTAGATACGGTTTCCAAGGAGCGACTGGTGAGCTTGAACAACCGACCTTGCAGTTCAAACTGATTTTACAGTCCAGCACATTAACCTACCGCGCCACTCCAGGACTCCTGTTGCTTTAAGTCAATTCCAATTCATAGTGATCCTATAGGACAGAATACAGTTGCCCCATAGGGTTTTCAAGGCTGCAGTCTTCACAGAAGTAGACTGCTACATCTTTCTCCTGCAGACAGGCTACTGGGTTCAAAATAACTAACTTTTGGGATCAAATAGGACAAATAAAGCTGCTAATAGGACAGAGTCACTGAAGCCAGGCTGTAGGCTACTGGTATTTAGAGAAAGTCCCTACTTCAAATAATTTTTAAAAGTATATACCCTGACTAAACAGGCTGCATTCACTTATGGAGAGCAGTGTAAAAATAACCAAACTCAGTCTATTAACAAGAATACTTTATGTGAGAAACTAGCAGATACTGTGCTTGATTAACGATGCCCAACCATGAACCAAAAAGGCGATTCATGAAATTTTTAGTTACAATTCTACAGGGCACAATGACATTTCCCCCTTTCCTCTTCCAGGTATCTCCCTGTTAGGTAGTAATTACTCCATCCCACAGAGCTGGCAGAATATATTGAATTTCTCTATTGTCCTTGCTTGGCATAAACCCAATGAACAGGATAATGGGGATTGGAGGAGGAGGGAGGCTTGGACACACCAATCCACATTTAAAAGGTTGCCTAGTAACAGTCTTCTGAATCCATTGGAGTACCTAAGCCTGTGGGTAGGCATATTTTACTGTTGCTTTCAACTATGCCTTTTCCTCTAAAACAGATTTTTGTGAGTTTATTCTGAAGAGCACTTGATCTAGGAAATTTCTAATTGTATTATAGAAATAAAAGCATAACATTTTAAAACATCCAAACCAAGCATACTTACCTGTCCTTGTTCGTACAAACATATCAAGAACATAAACTGCATCTGACAAGTAATCAAAAACGAGCCAATATTCTAGGTAATCAATCTGAAGTTCATCAAAACATGCCCTGTAAAAAAAACAAAAAAAAACACTTGTATAAAGAAAATGGAACACATCCTATTTCAAGTCTTCTTTGCATAATTTTTATTATGATAAGAAGTATAACAAAGTAAAACTAGGTTTTGTTAGGTGCTGTTGAGTCAGTTCTGAGGAACAGAGACCCTGCATAGGGTTTCTGAGGAACGACTGGTGGGTTTAACTGCCTGACCTTGTGGTTATTGGTCCAGGGCTTATCCTACCACACCAAAACAGGACTCTTGGAATCTGTGTAATCTATCATGGCTTTCCTCTTTCCCAAGGTGGTTGCCTTAAGTTTTCTCATACTTCTAAATGCCCACATATTATTGTTGTTACGTGCTGTCCAGTCAGTTCCAACTCACAGTGACCCTACACACAATGGAAGGAAACACTGCCTCGTCCTGCACTGTCCTCACAATGGTTGTTATGTTTGATTCTGTTGGTGCTGCCACTGTGTCAGTCTAACCCATTGGAGGTGGGGGGGTCTTCTTCTTTTTCACTGACCCTCTACTTTGGCAAACATGATGTCCTTCTCCAAAAATTGGTCCCTTCTGATAACATGTCCAAAGTCTCATCATGCTTACTTCCAATGAAAATTTTGGCTGTACTTTTTCCAAGACAGATTTACTTTTTTGGCAGTTCATGGAACTTTTAATATTCTTCATCAATATGATAATTCAGATTCATTGATTCTTCTTCTATCTTCCTTATTCTTAGTCCAGTTTTCACATGCAAATGAGGTGATTAAGAATACCATGACTTGGGTCAGGGACACCTTAGTCCTCAGAGTGACATATTTGCTCCTTAACACTTTAAAGAGATCTTTTGCTGCAGATTTGCCTAATTTAAGGTGTCATTTGATTTCTTGATTGCAATTTCCATGACTGTTGATAGTGGATGCAAGTGAAATGAAGTCTTGGACAACATCAATCTTTTCTCTGTTTATCATGGTGCTATGTATTGGTTGTGATGATTTTTGTTTTCTTTACATTGAGGTGCAATTCATACTGAAGAGTATAGTATCTGTCACCTCATTTAGTGTTGTTAATCACCCTCATTGAAGTTTAATTCACACATAATAAAATGCATGGATTTTAAGAAATGACTTTGACATATATAGATATCCATGTAACCGTCACCACAATCAAGATATAGACCATTTTCATAACTTTAAAATGTTCCTTTTATATCTTTCTCATCAATCCCTTCACCTAACCCATCCCTACTTCCTGACATCCACTAATTTGCTTTTGGTTACAATCTGTTTTGTTGTTTATATCAGTCATTTGCTCCCTTTTATTGCATCATTGTAGTATTCCATTGTATGGATCTATCTCATTCTCTACCCTTTGGTTGGTTGATGATGCATGGAGGGGATTGTAACCATGGCAATGTAACGATATGTGATAGGATGACGTAAAGCTAATGTTCTCCCATGTAAACTATCACATAATTCACAATAAAACATTAAAAAAAAAGAAAAAGAGTATAGTGTCTGATCTTCATCGGTAAGTATTTCAACTCGTCTTCACTTCCAGCAATAAGGTTGTGTCATCTGCATATTTCAGGTTGTTGATGAGTCCTCCTTCCTCCAATCCTGATACCATGTTCTTCTTCATATAATCAATTCCTCAGATTATTTGCTCAACACACAGATTGAATAACTATGATGAAAGTATACAACCCTGGCACAAACCTTTCCTGATTTTAAAGCATTCCTTTGCTCTAGTCAAACCACTGCCTATTGGTTTTTGTACCGCTTCCTAGGGAACACAATTAAGTGTTCTTAAACTCCCACTCTTTGTAATGTTAGCCATGATTTTATTTTTAAGTTTTTTTTGTAAACCATATGATAGTTTACATGGGAGAATATCAGACTTACATTCATCCTATAGTATATTGCTTCACTGCCACGATCACAGCCCCCTCCATTCATCATCAAACAACCAAATGGTATACCCTGCAAGCCTGCCTCCTGGTGGTCAGCACACAGCCCCTCTCCCTCTCTGGGTCCAGAGTCCCCAGCTGCTCCCTCTCTCCATGTCATCGTCTCTGCCTCCATCTCTGGCATCACTGCTTCTCTGGGTAGGGTCCCACACTCTGCTCTTCTCCCTTGATGGTCCCAGGGACTGCCACTCCCAGACTGCAAAGTCAATCACTCCTCTCCTTTTGCTAGAAAATGTCCACCTTTACATTTCAAACACTCACAGTCAGTCCTGAGAGCAATTATTCACTATTGTACCATAAGAATCTTATCCCATCTCCTTTCATCAGCCCTGTCCAGATTGGGTACCGCTCTGTGGAGAGTCTAACTTTCTCCATGTCATCTGGAATTAGGCTCCCTCTTGAAAGCTTGTAAGCCAGTCACTTCTTGCCTTTGTAGCCTCCCTCCTCCATTTTGGGTAGCCAATGTCTACCCTGTGTACCGAGGGGATGGGAATGATCCTTACTGTAAAGTTTTGTTCCCTCTTTTGAGCTACTGTATCTATAGGTATAGGTCAATTTCATCAAGTTGTATCAGATTACTCTTTTTTTCCTTGTCTTTCTTCTTCTAGTTGAGTTCTGATTATCCAGCCATTGAAACCAGGTCAAGTGGGTATTATCTGCAAGTGTGGGTATTCTTGTGCATTTCCCCTTTCTTCTCATCAGCTGGATGCTTCACTCTCCACTCTAGTCTTCTGTGGCTATGTCACTGTCTCTGGTCCCAGAAGTTCCCAGGTCTTGCTATAATCCTGGCCAACCAGTTCCCAACTCATGTTCACAGGAGTCTATATTGAACACGGTTGGACTTAGCTCACAACTGCATTATTGTTTTTCCCTCACTTCCCCTTATCAGTGATGAACATGGTCATCAGTTAGACCACCTGTCTGCTCATGTATATTCCCCTAGAGTATTAGTCTTGGAAGGGGGTTTGCCCTGAGGGGACCTGACCACTTGCCTTGATGGCTCCTGGGCGAGCAACTTGTTTGTTCTTATAGTAGTCAGTCAGACTGCCACTACTGTTTTTGATTTTTTCCTGTCGGTCTTTCTTTCAAAAAGTATCTTCTGTTCTTCTAGCAACTCCAGGCTGGTCTGCTTGTCCTTTCAAGTGGATATTCCTTGCCTCAGAAGATTCTGGATGGGGTTCAGGATTCTACCTATCATTTTATGGAATGCAAAGGTTCCTCAGGAAGCCTCCTTCACTGTAGCCATAATTTTTATGACACACATAGTTGAATGCCTTTGCATAGTTAATAAAATACAAGTAAACATCTCTCTGATACTCTCTACTTTCAGCCAAAATCCATCAGACATCAGCATGATATCCTTCATTCCATGTCCTCTTCTGAACTCAGCTTGAATTTCTTGTAGCTCCAATGTCCATATGCTGCTGCAACTGTTTTTGAAATATCTTCAGCAAATTTTTACTTACATGTGATGTTAATGATATTGTTAGTTGGTTTCTACATTCCATTGAGTCATCTTCCAAATTTTTTGGCATACACAAGGGAGCTTCTCAAGTGCTTCTCTTCAGTCTCACAGATTCTTGATCGTATGCTACTTCTTGAAATGATTGAATGTCGTCCAATTCTTTCAACTTGAGAAATGCTGAACTTGTTCTTCTCTTCCGGCTTTTCGACTTCAGGTCCTTGTACATTTCATTATGCTTGACTTTGTCTTCTTGAGCTTTCCTTTGAACTTTTCTGCTTAATTCTTTTGCTTTGTCATTTCTTTTAGTTGTTTTAGTTTCTCAATGTTCAAGAGCAAGTTTCAGAGTCTCTTCTGACATTCACATTGGTCCTTTCATTCTTTCCTGCATTTTTACTGGTCTTTTAAGTACTTCATGTATGATGTTCTTAAACTCTTCTGGTCTTCCGTCATTAGTGTATAATGCATTAAATCTGTTCTTGAGATGGTCTCTAAATTCAGGTGGGATATATTCAAGGTTATATTTCGACTCTTATGCACTTGTTTTACTTTCTGCAACCTGAACTGCCTATGGGCAATTGATGGTCTGTTCCACAGTCAGCTTCTGCTCTTGTTTGGGCTGAAGAGATTGAGTTTCACTATTACCGTTTTTCATAGACATAGTCAATCTTTATGTTCCATCTGGTGAAGTCCATGTGTATGCTATTGTTATTATTGTTAAGTGTCATTGAGTCAATTCTGACTCATAGCAACCCTGTATAAGGTTTCCAAGGAGTGACTGGTGAGTTTGAATCACTGACCTTGTGGTTCAAACTGACCTTGTGGTCCAGTACTTTATCCTACAATGCCACACCAGTACTCCAGTGGTATTCCATGTAGATGTATGGATATTATCTTTTATTACAAACAACATTGTACTTCAATATAGATCTTGAAATGCTCTTTTTGGCAATGAATTTAATGCCATTCTTCTTCAAAATGTTGTTCCTGGCATAATAAACCACATGATTTTCTGATTCAAAATGGTCAGTACCAGTACTTTTCAGCTCACTAACACCTAGGATATTGATCTTTATTAAGTCCATTTCATTTTTGATACTAATTTTCTAATTTTTCTAGACTCATATTTCACACTTTACATATTCCAATTATTAATGAATATTACAGCTGCTTCTTCTCCTTTTAAGTTGTGCCACATCAGCAAGTGAAGGTCCTGAAAGTTTTGTTCCTTCCATGTCATTAAGGTTAACTCTACTTTGAGGAGGCAGCTCTTCCACAATCCCTCAGCTTCTGGCACTATATCAGACAATATTCTGCTTCTATTCATAAGGTTTTCAATGGCTAACAATTCAGAAGTGGTCTGCCTCTCTTATTTCCTGGTCTGCCTTATCTTGAAGCTCCACTGAAACCTATCTATCATGGGTGACCATATGGGTATTTAAAATACCAATGTCATTGTTTCCAGCATCATAGCAAACACACAAGCCACCGTAGCATGAAAAACTGACAGATGAGTACTGAGAAATCCAACATACCTCCCATCGTATTATTCTATGCTGCAAAAACATAAATAGGAATAAATATGCTCAAGTCAGTGTCAAAATATGTTGGTTGAAATGTATTGATCATCAAGTTCATATTGACTATGTGTATTCACAATGGTTCAGGTAACTATCTGAGTCAAAGATGGCTGAGATGTCTCCTGTGAACAAGACAGTGAACCATGGAATTCACTTGAGAGTCATATCTTGCTCTATAACAACATAGAACCCTGATCTTTTATGACTATTGGAAAACAAATTTTTTTTGGTAGGCTAAGAAAATGAGAAATTTCTCTCAAAGATATAATGAAATGGTTGAGTAATCAAAAGTTTAATCCAACCAGTGGAGATTTAACTATATTATGAACCAAAGCTTCAAGTTCTCAGGAAAAACCCAGTGAAACCAATGTAACCTCTCTACACCAAGTGATAGGGAAAAGGAAGAAGTCCTAGAGAGCTCTAAGTCAAATTGCTTAGAAGTAACGGAAAACCAGAAGTAGATGGAGATCCATAAAATTCGGCACCTTACTCAACAACAACGAAATAAATGAAATTTAAAAATAAATACATAGACACCTTGCAATGACCATAGTCCAGTTGTACATAACAGGTAAAGTGATGCAAAACAGCCAATTGTAATACGTGTTTCCCGAAGGATCTATAACCATGACTTCTTTCTTCTCCCTAGCAGCAAGTAGAGATAAAAGAGACAATTTTCATGAAAGAGGAACATATTTATTTCACGTATCAGATCTAGTTATGCTGATCACTGAAAACAAATGAAATAGAGGTAAGTTAGAGAAGCTCATTCTACAGTGCAAAGATAAGTTTGGCATAAGTACAATGTTGTTGTTGTTGTTAAGTGCCCTCGAGTCAATTCCAGCTAATAGCCACCCTGTATAGGGTTTCCAAGGAACAGCTGGTGAGTCTGAACCTCAGCCTTGCAGTTGGAAATGACCTTTAGGTCCAGTGCTTGTCTTACCGTACCCACAATAAACTTATTAGTGAGTAATGAATAGTTAAATTACCAGTCATACGTTAAACAGTGCACTTGTTAAGTGACATCAAGTCAGTTCTGACAAATAGCAACCCTATATAGGGTCTGAGGAGTGACTGATGGGTTTGAACCACCGAACTTTCTATTAGCAGTCCAGAGCTTGTTCTATAGTGCCACACCAGGACTTCCAACAATACTGCAATTGATTTTATTAAAGTTCTGAAGACCGTTCCATCACTCCAGCCTCTAAAAGGGAAGAGGGAAGCAGATATTACAAAGCTATGGATAGTCCACAAATTCCTTTGGTAGGTTGTGGGTAGTAGAAGAAGAGTGGCTTTTGTGAACCCCATATCAGGTAACAAAAACACCAGGAGCTACACTGTGAGGAGGGACATGTAACTTCTTTCTCATCAATAAGGAAAGCAGAAGAATATAGTGCAATCCAACAAAAAAACACATAAAATGAGCAGCTAGGAAGGATCCTTTAAGAGAGGCACTAGAGGGTAGAAGGAAGGGAGGAAGAAAATAAATGATCAAATGGAAAAATTTTTTTTTCTGGTATCAATTCTCTATTTTTAAGGGGTTGAAACTCCCAACAACTTCTAAACAGTCAGAAATAATTGTACTATTGTCTGTGTAGAGTTTTCTTTAAGTAAATTCAGAAAATAATTTTTCCTTTAATAAAAAGTGAAAAAAAATAGCTTAGCCAATGTTATTGAGCCTTGTTGTTGTTAGTTGTCATCAAGTTGGTTCTGATTCATAGTAATCCTGTGTACTACAGAAAGAAACACTGTCTGTCTTGTGGCATCCTTACAGTCATTGCTACGATTCAGCTCACACTTGCAGTCACTATGCCAATCCATCCTGTTGAGGCTCTTCCTCTTTTACACTAATTCTCTACCAGGCAGGATGCCTTACTCCTAATAACATGTCCAAAGAACATGAGATGAAATCTTACTGTACTTTCTGTATCATCTGGCTGTATTACTTCTAAGATAGATTTGTATATTTTTCTGGTCTTCTATGAGTCGGAACCGACTCCACAATACTTAACAACAACATGTATATTCAAGGAGTCCTGATGGGGCACTGTAGGATAAGTACTGGGCCACAAGGTTGGTTTGAACCACAAAGTCATTGGTTCCAACTCACTAGCCACTCCTCAGAAACCCTATATGGGGTTGCTATGAGTCAGTTAACAACAATAGTTTATTCAGTATTCTTTGCCAGCACCATAATCCAATGCATCAGTTTTTCTACATCTTCCTTGTTCATTATCCAGCTTTTACATGCATATTAGACAACTGAAAGTATCAGCGGCTCATCGCAGTTCTTAAAGTGACATCTTTGCTTTTTTTTTTTTAACACTTTAATGAGGTCTTTGACAGCAGATTTTCCTAATATAATACATCATTTGATTTCTTGACTCCTTGAATATGGATTAAATCCTTGTAAACGCAGTAAAATGAAATCCTTGTCAATTTCAATCTTCTATCCACTTATTATGATGTAATTTCATGGTCCAGCAGTGAAGATTTTTTGTTTTCTTTATGCTAAGGTACAATCATATGTAGTCTTTGTAGTCATCAGTTCTTTTCGTCTGCATATTGCAGACTGTTAATGAATTTTCCTCCAGTCTCAATGCCATGTTTTTCTTCACAGCTTCTTGATTTATTTGCTCAACATACAGATTGAATAAATATGGTGGAAGGATATGACCTTGATATTTCTGATTTTAAACCATTCTGTATCTCCACATTTGTTCTAATGACTGCTTCTTGGCTTATGTACAGGTTCCTCACGAGCACAATTATATTTCTGAGATTCTTATTCTTTATAACGCTATCTATAATTTTTTAGAATGCACACAATCTAATTTCTTTGCATAATTTCTGTACAGCATTTCAAGTGGGCACATCTTTATGGGAGCAGAAAGACTCATGTCTCCTGTGGAGCAGCTGGTAGATTCATACTGCTAACTTATGGCTAGCAGACCAAAGAGCTGATCATGCTACCAGAGCTTCTTGAAGAACTTGGTTGATGTTGTTATTAAGTGCTATTGAGTCAGTTCCCTGTATAGGGTTTCCAAGGAGTGGTTGGTGAGCTTGAACCACCAACCTTGTGGTTCAAACTGACCTTGCAGTCCAGCTTATTAACCTGCCACATCACACCAAGACACCACACCAGGAAGAAATTGGTAGAGTTCATCAATTTCTTCATCATTGACTTTGGTGGTTAGTGTGCAAATTTGAGTAATAATTGTTAATAATTGGTCTTCCTTGTAGACATATAGATATTTTCCTATTGCAGACAATATTGTACTTCAAGCTAAATCTTGGAATGTTCTTTTTGACGATGAATGGTACAACATTCTCTTGAATTTGTTATTTCTGGCATAGAAAATCTTATGATTTTCTGATTCAAAGTGGCAAATTCCTGTCCATTTCAATTTACTAATGCCTTGAATATCTTTATGGGTTTCATTTCATTTTTGATGACTTCCAACTTGCGTAAATGCATACTTGTGCATTCTACATTCCAATTATGAATGGAAGTCTGCAGCTGTTTCTTCTCATTTTGAGTCATTCCCCATCAGCAAATGAAGATCCTGAAAGCATTGCTCTCTACACATCATTACGATAACTTCTATTTTGAGGAGACAACACTTCCCCCGTCATGAGTGTCTTTCGTCTTTAGGGGCTCATCTTCCTTCACTATATCAGACAATGCGCTACTGCTATTCATAAAGTTTTCAGTGGATAATCCTTGTTTCTACTGTATTCTCAGTCTGGAAGCTCCGCTGAATCCTGGCCACCATGAATGAGCCTATTGATGTTTGAAACGCGTAGCTTCAAGCATCAAAGCAACACTTAAGACACCACAGTATGACAAACTGACGCATGAGTAAGGATATCAATGATACAGTTTAATCACTTATGCATTCTATTGGATCACCTTTCTTTGGAATGGGTACAAATGTGAATTTCATCAGTTCACCAGGTAGCTCTCTTCCAAATCTCTTGGCATAGATAAGTGGGTGTTTCCAGCATTACATCCATTTGTTGAAACATCTAAATCAATAATTCAGCAATTCCCAGAGCCTTGTTTCTTGGTATTACCTTCAGTGCAGCTTGGAATTCTTGTCCCAATACCACTGGTTCTTGATCATATGCTACCTCCTGAAATGGTTGAATTGCAACCAATTCCTTTTTGTTCAGTGACTGTGTATTCCTTCAATCTTTCCTTGATGCTTGATTTGTAGTTCAATAATTTATTCAAAAATCCTTCAATGTTTCAGCTAAAGACTTTATTATTATTATTTTTTAATCCTTTTGGTTTGAGAAATGCCAAGCACTTTCTTCTCTTTTGGTTTTCTAATTCCAGGTCTTTACATATTTCACTATAATAATTTGCTTTGTCCCACCTCTTTGTTTTCAACTTTTGCATTCCAATCACCAGTACTTATCTGCACTTCTTGATTACATATTTTCTTAATTTGAGACTGCAGAAGTTAGTTAAAATCTTCAGTTTTCTCATTTTCTTGCACTAGAGGTTGGTGCATACATTTGAATAATAGTTGATTTAACTGGTCTTCTTTGTAGCACATGGGTATTATCCAATCACTGACAGCATTGTACTTCAGGGTAGCTATGAAAATATTCTTTTTGAAAATAAATGCAATACAATTCCTCTCTAATTTTTCATTTTTGGCATAGTGCTGTGTAGTCAGTTCTGACTCAAACCAACTCTATGTACAACATAGACAGATGGGTGTTTCCAGCATTACATCCATTTGTTGTACAACTGTATGTACAGCAATTACTGTTGCAATTAAGCATAGCTTTTACCATGAAGTGTTTTGCTTAGAATATGAATCATAGAGCATTTATTGTTAAAAATGTTAAATAAGTTATTAAATTTTTATTAAATGAAAAAAGCAAATGATGGGGCAGGGAGTTAGACCCTCAGTAACTGATTTTCTTTCAATCTTGGTATTACCCTGTGATAAATTAATCTTCTCCAGTGTTTGGGGAAGAGACCTAATCAGCATAGTAAAAATTCCTCATAAGAAAGCTAAAAATAACACTACTATCACTAATGTTAGGGAATTGAAAAAAAAACAAAAAACCTTTAAATTTATATTTTGTATCATTTTATTTAATCTCTTTATTATAAAGTCTCCTCCTTTATATCATGGAGCGCATCCTCCACATCCAAAATCCAATCATAAATTCAGTCCTAATTTCACTGTCATTAAGATACTTACTCCTCTTTCTTCTTTTTGTTTTTGTCCACTTTCTTTTTCTTCTCTTTTTCTCTCTTCTTGTCATTCTTTGGGTCCTTTTCATTTTCATCTTTACCATCTGATTTACTGAAAAAGCAAGTATTTCAATTAGTATTCAAACACAACTACTGTTTTTCCCACATCTGGAACAAAGAAGAGTGAAGGAAATCAAAGATATATGGAAACAATTAGTCCAAAGAACCACATGAAGCTCAGTCTCTATGACCTTGAGATCAGAAGAAATAGGCAATGTCCAGCTACCACTACTAACAATTCTGAAAACTGATCACAAGAGTGAGTGTCTTTCTAGAACTAAAAGAAACTCATTCTTATGAGCAATTTTCAGACAAGCAGCAGATAGGTATATAGTGGGACAACAACACTAGTAAGGTATGCTTACCATGGAATGGCCAATTGTTCAAAATCAAAAGGGCAACATTTACCTAAGGACAAAGTTCAGAAGGAATGAGAAGGTGGGTAGACTGGAAATAGGAATCACAAGGGAGGAAGTGGGATAACTATTTTTATATGGAGGGGATTGCAATCATTGAAATGACAGAAAGCGTATGAACTGTAGAATGTAAAACTGATGATCTTCTCTGTAAACCTTCACTCAATTCACAACAAAAAGTTGTTTAAAATAAAAAAATTCTTGAGCAACCATCTGAGGTACAACTGTTGGTCCCACTGTCTGGAGGAAAGAAAATCAAAGATATTTAGAAACAACTAGTCCAAAGGACTAATTGATCACACAAACATCAGCCTCCATGACCCTGAAACCAGAAAAACTAGATGGTGCCTAGCTATCACTACCACTAACACATTAGTGGTGTGAAAGGGATCACATTAGAAGGTCCTGGATATAATGGGAGAAAATGTGGAACAAAACTCAAAATCATAAAAGAAAAGACGAAGCTTATAGGAAAGACAGAGCCAGATGGAATCCGGTGACTACTGCCCTTAGTCACCTTTCAGGTCTAGAATTAAACTCACCCTTTTTCAGCCAAACAATAGACAAGGTAAACAATAACACTAGGGAGGTACATACTCCTTAGAACAATCAACCAACCACTCAAGATCAAAAGGGCAGCATTTGCCCAAGGGCAAAATTCTTGGAAAGAAGGAGTAATGGGAAATGGGAAACACAGGTAAAAGTGGAATGAGCAATGTTATACTGTAGAAATTGCAATCAATTACATAAAACAAAATGTGTATGAATTGTTGGATGGAAAACTGATCTATTCTGCAACCCTTCACCAAATTAAAAAAAATAATAAAAGAAATGTAAAAATAAAAAAATACAAAAAATGTTATAGACAGAAAAATATGTAGCTATCCATGCTACCTGGTGTGGCACTGTGGGTTAATGTGCCAGAATGTAAAGCCGTTTAAACTGCAAGGTCAGTGGTTCAAGCTCACCAGTTGCTCCTCAGAAACCCTATACAGAGTTACTATGGGTCAGAATCAACTCAATGGCACTTAACAACAACATCCATGCTAAAGTCTAACTTACAGTGATAGCTAAGGTTTTGTGTTAGCTTGATTGGGCCAGGATTCTCAGTGGTTTGTTAGTTAAGATGCAATAATCCTCCATGATGAGATTTACAATGAGCAGCCAATCATTAAAAGGAAGTTTCCCTCAGAAGTGTGGCCTGCTTCCAATATATTGAACACTTGGGCAAAGCTTGTTTGCTTTCTGCTGGGTCTGAATTCTGTATCAGGCTTGTCATCCAATCTCTGGCTCTTTAGACTTGAACCACTGGCCTACTCAATTGCTTGCCAATCTGGAAGTTGTTAGCAGCTGGCCGTCTTACTTGTTAGGCCTGCCTACTTGCCACCTGACCTGTCAATCTTAGTTTATCAGTCCTACAGCTACGAGTCAGAAGCCTCCAGCCTTATATCTGACCAATGGATTTGGGACTTGCCAACCTTTAAAACTGTGTGAGGTCATTTCCTTGATATAAACCTTTCCTTATATATGCATATGTAAGTTCACTGGTTTTCCTTCTCTAGAGAACCCAGCCTAAGGCACTTACCTTTTCTTTCCCTTTTTCCTTTTCTTCTTTTCTTTTGATTCCCTAAAGAAGAAACAATATCTCTGTCATATAATCAGATTATACTTTGGCTTCCAGTCTTACTTACTTTTTTCTCCATTGAGCAAGAATTCTCAACATTTGTTTCAAAGTCCTCTCCCAGGGCTCAGAATCTAGAAATTTGTTATCCTACTGGAAATTTCTACTAACAAAAGACTCAGGTAATTAAATGAGGAAATAAAATGTTCTGGGTTTGTGGATATGGAAAATTGAAGAAAATGGAGGTGAATAAGGGCATAAACCCAAGCAGGGAAATTTAAGAAACGATAACACCACCAAAGAGTGCATTTTGTAACTGAAAGTGTATGCAAAAAACATTCAGGTATTTGAAATGTAAGTTTCTTGATATGATTCATGTTTATCCTTGAATAAAACATTAAGAATTTCAAGATAAAAACCCACTGCCATCAAATGGATTCCTACTCATAGCGGCCCTACTCATAGTTCAGAGGAGAACTGCTCCCTAAGGGTTACCAAGGCCGTAAATCTTTATGGAAGCAGACAGTCTCATCTAGCATGTAGTAATTCCCCATGATAGTCTACTAATGTTCACAGCTCTCTGTGGATTAGGCCCCATGATTACCATGGCCACTTTAAAATTATTGTGCTTACCTTGCTTCTACTGGTTCAGCACTACCACTGCATACAATTATGTCACCATCTTATTATCTTAATGCTCTCAGGGAGTGTGGTTATGTGATAGCACCTCCCACTCAGTCTGATCTACAGAGGACACCACACTGAACTCATTGATTCTGATGTCCTGCTCACCCAAGCATTTCTTTTATATCCTTCTGTGCACAATACTTGCTGGGCCCTCTCAGGGAATGTGATCCGCTTGTGGCCCATCCTCCTTATGTAGAATATCCATCTTAGCATGCCACTTCTCTGAGTCCTTTGATGCCTTCCCACCATTTCTCATTGGAATTTCTCTTCCCCTTAGAGTGGGCTCCCAAAAGTCACCATCTCCTGGAATTTTCCATACGGTGTTAAAACCTGCATCATAGGAACATACCCCCATAGCATTCTATGTCCTGTTCCAGTTTTTACAACACCACCATAGGTGCCGAGCCCACTTCACTTGCCAATCTTATCTGCCATTTTGCCCTTCACTTCTGCCAGACCATTTTTATCCAGACTAAATTTACTTACATATATTTTTAAATCTCCTTTCAGCATCCTCCCTCTTCACAAGTTTTCCAATTATTTTCCATAAGTCAAGGCATTAGCTTGGACCACAAAGTTGGTTTGAACCACAAGATTGGAGGTTCAAACTCACCAGCTGCTCTTCAGAAACTGTTTACAGTATCACTATGGGTTGGAACCGACTCGATAGCACTTAACAACAAAAACACCTCCCTTCAACAGTCTTCGTTGACAGTATCAGTGGTAGTAAGATGCCTGTTCATTTATATCTGAACCGTAAAATTTCCCAAGACATCCAAGCTGACAATGAAAGCCTAAGTTGTCCCAGGTCTGTATGACTTCAGAATTCATTCTTCTGTTGGTAGAGAAAACCAATTATAGAAAGAAGCCACTAATCATACAAACTTCACTCAAGAAGAAAGTGTAAAAAGAAAATGGTGGTCTCAAATCCAGTGACTGATTCAATTAATTGGGATTCCATTATATTACAAAGGAACTTTTTGACAACTCATTAAAAATTGCTCCTGTCAGAATTAACCCCTCTAAAGACAACAGACTTGTAATGTGAAGTCCTGGTAGCACAGCAGGTTACATTTTGAACGACTGCTAATCACAAGGTCAGTAGTTCAAATCAAGTAGCCACTCCACAAGCCATGAGGTTTATGACTTCCATAAACATTTACAAGCTGAGAAACTCTATAAAGGGTCACTATAGCTGGAACCAGAGTCCAGGTGTGGCACTCTGGGTTAATGCACTGAATCATAAATTTGGTTTGAACCACAAGGTCGGAGGTGCAAGCTCACCAGCAGCTCCTTGGAAACCCTGTACAGGGTCACTATAAGTAGGAATAGACTCGATGGCACTTAACAACAATAACAAAAGTTGAAACTGACTCCTTGGCACTTACAACAACAGACAGATGAGCAGCCAATAAGAGTTTATTGTATATAACCAAAACAAATCATGCATGGCTAACTAGAAAGGTGAGGGCATCTTGTTTTGATAAAATATCAGAATCTCTTGGGAGAACAAAGAAGATGGCGGATCGGGTGGAAGTGCAGTGAAGAGCTCCATCAGCAACAAAACAGAATACCAGACCAAGCAGGCTCAGGGAATGGTGCCAGAACTCTGAACCACATGTAAAAGAATATTTAGAAGGTTGGAAGGCTTACAGCTAGGGGAATTTGTAGAAGAAGCAAGAAATTCAGTGCTTTCTAATTCAAGATGCTCAGCTGCTCCCAGAGCTGCAATATTGGGTGAAACCAAGCAGGGGAAGCATCAGAGCAGCCATGGATGCCTGACAGAACCGTGGAGATAAAGGCGTGGACATCCTTTTTCTCTTTTTTGGTATCTGTTCATTGGTACCTCACTGTCTGTGCACCTACGTTCTGGTGACTATAGGGGTGTCTGAGTGAGTGGACACCCCAGCCCCACCCTCAGAGGGTTCTACCACGCATGCACACAGATATCTTAGATATTTAAAGAGACAGTTTTCACTTAAAACCAAATGGCCATAGTGAGCCCTGAACTGTTTATAACTAGAAAAAAGGCCTGAACAGGGATTGTGGAGTGGGACAGGCAGACTAAAAAGGAAATAGGCTGAAAATTAAATCCTGAGTTACATCAAAACAGCCAACAGTGGCATCTTGAAATTTCTCTGGAAAAGAGTGAAAAGAGAAGCCCATTTCCTGATCACATCTACCTGGAGGCAATCAGAAAGCATAAAAATTACCAAAATAAACACCCATCTAAGTATTAAGGCCACAGATAACCCCTGAAAATGCCCCAAAAAACAGAAGCAGATGACCATATCTGCTCATGTCCAGAAATGAAATAAAGTGACTGAGGCAAATAAGCTGGAAGTAGACCTACACTCAGTACTGGAAGATGAGCAGGCTTTGGAAATGCCTGAGAAGGAATTCCTAAAAACGATTATAAAATGTATCAAAACACTATACAATGGAGTTGAGAAAAAAAGGAAGAAGTCAGGAAAGCACTATAGGAACAATCAAATAAGATAAATACATCATTAGAAACAATTCAAAACCTACAGAAAAAGGTGCAAACGATTAATAATAGAATATCAGAAATGGACAATACACAGGAAGAGCAAAGGAGTAGAATTGAAGAGATAGAAGCCAGAACTAGTGAGCTAGAAGATAAATCTCTCAACACAACTAAGATAGAATAACAAACACAAAAAAGGATAAAAAAAACCTGAAGAAGGCCCTAAGATTCATGTTGGACAAGAAGAAGAGGAAGAACTAAAGAATTATTGGCATTCCGGAACAGGAAGAATCAGAGAAGTCCCCAGAGAAGATAGTTGAAGATTTTCTGGAAGAAACTTGTCCTAACATCCTGAAAAGTGAAAAGATAAGCATTCAAGAAGCTCAACGAACCCCAGGAAGGATAGACCCTAAAAGATAATCACAAGACATGCAATAATCAAGCTCTCCAAAATCAAAGATAAGGACAGGATCCTGAATGCAGCTAGGGAAAAGAGATATGTAACATACAAAGGCAAGCAAATCAGATTAAGCTC